AGTGATCCTTCCTTTCCCATCCAAAAGAAAAGAGTCAGCAGAGAATTTCTAAGAACAAAAGCACATCTTCGTGCAAGGACAAATACTTTTGGTGCAGTATGTTTTCCTTTTTGGTGCATCTTTATACCTTGCCTGCTTATGCCTTTACTTCATAATGCAAATTCAAATGTTCTAGTTTTTCATCTATCCTATTGTGTAATGCCAATTTCTAGATGATTAAATATGTGGCTGCTTTCCTGTTATTCATCGTGAAGAATTTCTTTAAGAGGAAAAATTGTTTAGGGGCGGGAGTAGGCATCTCCAAAATTTGATGCATTCTATATTTGTATTATTGCTGGAATGTCATTGGCGTTGGTCATGCTTCATGTGGAGTGCTAAAAATCATCTGACCTAACTAATTTTATTTTCTCATTAGTAGGAGTTCTAAGCAATGAGTTTTAGGTGCTGGTTGTTAATTTCCATCCCCATGTTTTTTTTATTATATATAATTTTTATTTTTATTTTTGATGTACTTTATGTATAAAATTCTGACTAGAATATTAACTCATGTAAGTTCTGTTACTATTTTCTCTTAGGAAATAACTTTATTTATTTTTTACTATTATCATTTTCTTTTTGTGATGCAAAATAAATTCAGGTTGCAAGGGTTAGGAATGCATTGGCCTATGCTACACATAAGTTCTTCCAAGAAAATGGGTTTGTATGGGTCTCAAGTCCTATCATCACAGCTTCAGACTGTGAGGGAGCGGGAGAACAGTTCTGTGTTACTACCTTGGTATTTTTTTTTTGATGCAGTACTACCTTGGTATTTGCAATTCCATGAACTACTTCCTCTTTACATGAATATTTTTAATCATATTTTACGTTATTGATGCTCTTTGAATACTCATCTCAATTCTCCACTCCTCTACCCTGCCCCACCAAAAAATCTCATTAGTAGGAAATTTGTTACAAAACCATGGTTGTGGGGGAAGAAATCCTGCATTCCAAATTACTTTGAAACAGACAAGAAAATAACTCATACAATTCACAGTAGAACATGTTAAAATCTTTAAAAGAGGATGTTACATTATCCTTTACTTCTTTTATTTTAGGCTGTGAGCTGAAGAAGGTTTGGTTTTAGCTTAGATTCTGGAGCAGTAGGGAACCTCTGGGGATGCTGCTCTTTGGCTTATTGAGAAACACCAGTTAATATTAATTTGGAAACAACAACCAAATCTCCTTATTGCAATCAGCTACATGGGTCAATCAACATCATTGCAATCTATCAAAAACAAATTTTTTAGTAAAACTATTTGAAGCAAAGCCTTTTTAGTTCTTTGATGTGGTCACTCATGTCTGGAAAATATTATTTCTTCGAAAGAATTCAAAATCAGCAAAACTTGTGCTGTCAGAATTTATTTGAACTCTTTATTATATATAATTCTTGAACTTTATCTTTAAACTCTACACAGGACATGCAGAGTTTATTACTTTGTTTACTCACTACTTAAAGCAGCCCTTCGATTTCCCCCCCTCAACAAAGGAAGTTCTTTCCCATAATAAAAAAATGGTGCAAGGACTGTGTTATAACTTATAAGTCTGTCACAAGCACTGATTTCATGTCTTATTATGCATTTAATTTTAGATTTCTCTCTCTTCAATTTACAGATACCAAGTTCTCACGATACTACTGATTCTCCTATTGATGCTATTCCAAAAATGAATGACAGATTAATTGATTGGTCACAAGTGAGTCAGATTCATGTCCCTACCCTTTTGATATAAGTTGTCAACATTCAATAAGTGTGTGAGGTGGTTATTGTATATTATGTACTAATCTGAAGCCTTCTGTGCATCAGGATTTCTTTGGAAAACCAGCATTCTTGACTGTTTCAGGTCAACTCAATGCTGAAACTTATGCTACTGCTCTGTCTGATGTACATACATCACCTTCTTTCTCTCCCTCTCATTTTTAGTATTTTTGCCATCTTTAAAATCTAGTATTTTAGATTTGATGATAATTGAAATAAACTTTGAATCTTGTATGTATGTAGGTGTATACATTTGGTCCCACATTTCGGGCAGAAAATTCTAACACGTCCAGGCACTTGGCTGAATTTTGGGTCAGTGATTCCTTTTTTTCTTTCGTGTTCAATTTGAATAAGCAGGAAGCTAGTGTATGCTTCCCTTTTTGTTTCTAAGCCGCTGAGTTGTTTCTATTAGTTGTTATGCATGCGTAATGGAACAATAATTAATGGACATGTATCATATTGTTTGTTCAGATGATTGAACCAGAGCTTGCATTTGCTGATCTGAATGATGACATGGCTTGTGCAACTGCTTATCTCCAGTTTGTAGTATGTTACATTCTGCAAATACCACAAAGTTGTCATTGTCTTTAGATTACTTTGGCAAAGATTAATTTTATATTATTTCTTCATATTTAAGCTTATGTGCTCCTTGTATTTGTTTCTTGAAGATAAGATATGTTCTCGATAACTGCAAGGAAGACATGGAGTTTTTCAATACATGGATTAATAAAGGAATCATTGATCGCTTGAGTGTATGAGTTCTCAGTGTAACCATCATATTGCTGTCCTTTATCTGATTTATACCTGGATGTATTAATTGTAATCGCCAGTTTGATCTCTATATTATTTTGGTGTCATTATAAAAAGGATGTAGCAGATAAAGATGTTGTGCAAATAACCTACACTGAAGCGATAGATCTGCTGTCAGGAGCAAATAAGAAATTTGAATTCCCGGTAACTCACTAATATATATGTGTGTGTATACACACATTTTTTTTTTCCGTTAATCCTGTTGAATGTGCAGTTGCTTTTGTCCATTGCTTCATCTTGTTTTATTCTATCCCTGACCTTTTTTAAAATAAGTATTTTTATGCTGTATGGTGTTTATTGTTTAGCAAATAAAACACACCAAGAGTTAGAGAATATCTTGTAACTTCTCTTTTGTTTGCTCCCCCACCCATTGGACATTCCGTGTCCAATTCTAGCCTGCATTCCATTCACATCTGTCATCTGCTAAAATTATTAATCCTAATGTTGTTTGTTGATCCTTGTAGCTTGCCCTGACTAATGACTCAAGATTTGATTGTGATTGCTGTATAAGCTTTATTTTTCTAAGGTGAAATGACTTGATTCATAAAGTGCTTCCAATATGTTTGTATTTGACATTTTTCTACTTGCATTCATAGGTGAAATGGGGTTGTGATCTGCAGAGTGAACATGAGCGTTATATAACTGAAGAGGCATTTAGTGGAAGCCCTGTGATAATTAGAGATTATCCAAAGGCATGCTACTTTTACCCCTATCTTTCTGGACATGACATATGGAAGACAAACTCCACAAAATCTGAAAGAAGTGGTTGAGAAAATAGAGTAGAAGTAACATTGTTCCAAAAAAAATTCTTCTGCTCAACTTACACCCCTCCCCCACACAAAAACTACAAGGGGGAAAAATGCACAATTTTACCTTCTGCTTTGTCATCTTTTTCACTTGAGATCACCACTTAAGTCACAAGAAATGAATCAATGATCAAGATTTATTGACACCCCTCTTAATAAAGTATGATATGTGTATGTATATATAGAGAGATGAACTAAATATACTGAATTTGTTGAATTTAATTTTTCAGGATATTAAAGCATTCTATATGCGACAAAATGATGATGGAAGGACAGTTGCAGCCATGGATATGTTGGTTCCAGGGGTAATTTATAAGATATCTCTTTCTTTATTATTGCCATCGATTAGCCTTTGTGAATAGCAAATTCAGTACTATTCAAAAGCGTGGTGGTTTAGGTTTGATGGTACATAAAAAAATATAACCTTATTTGTGCCAGAATAATGTTATAAGGAGTGCTAGCAACACTCTCTTGCACCGTTAGGATCCTATTACTAGGTATGGGACTTGAGTCATTGGAAGTATGGGATTCTAGTGTGGGATTTAACGGGCCTTTAGCTTTGCAACTACAATAACTAGCTTTTGTGGTGTGGTTTTTCCAATGTTCTTATCATTTGGCAATAGATAGAGCCTTCTACCATGTTTCCCAGCTGCAAACAAGTGATGTGGGTGGTGATGCTGACATTGCAATGTTTGCCTGAGACTAGTTAAAGGGTCTAGTACACATCCAACCCATGCGGGTGCTAGGACTGTGAAACATGGTGGGTTATGATCCAATTGCAAGATATGAGACTTGAGTTCCACATTGGAAGTATTGGATTCTAGTATGGGTTTATAAGGCTTTGGATTCTCTAACTACAAATAGCTTGCTTTTGTGGTGATGTTCTTCCATTAACTAACTTCCCTTTCCCAAAGTCTTAACAAACACACTCTTCTATTGGTCAATATACATTGAAAAATACAAAATCACGAGTAGAGTTAATTATGCCAGTACTTAGATCCACACAATTTTGTGATTCCTAATAATAGAGAATGTATATTACTAGCATTTTGCTAATGTTATTAAGCTCGGGTTGAGGATGTTGGGATAGTAAGGGAGTTCTTCTGTACACAGCTTTTTGATATGAGGTTGGTTCAAGCCTTGTCAGTACACACTAGTATAATGTTCTTATTTATGCAGAATGCAAACTTATGTACATGTCCTTACGATGTGTTGCCTCTTTGTTAGATCGGTGAACTTATTGGTGGAAGCCAAAGAGAAGAAAGGCTCGAGTATCTAGAAGCTCGTTTAGATGATTTAAAGCTAAATAAGGATGCATATTGGTGGTATCTTGATTTGCGTCGATATGGTTCAGGTCAGATGTCTTTCCCTTTGAGCCTCTTTTCCTATTTGTTCCATGCTTTATAAGACAACATTTTCAAAATAATAGATTATCCTTCCTTTATTTGGACGGTCTCATTCCATCTTTTGGGTGTTCTGCCCTTGCGTAAAATTATGTCATTTCCCAAATCCTCTATAATGTTGTCATGTCAGAACTTGATACATGAATTTCACATATATGCGGAGCTATGCACAGGCTGATCTCTTGAGGAAAATGTGACATAGTGCCTTTATTGAAGAACCTTTTTTTTTTTTTATCCAAGGAATTTATGCACGTGGTTCAGCTGGTGAATTGCAAGCTCTGTGCAATTGTCTGGCCTCATTCTTTGTTGAGAAAACTCTTAAATCGGTCTTCCAATATCACCACATTAGTTCTCTAAACATTTATTATCAAATTAGAATATAAAAAGTTACTAAATTAATTCCTACGTTGGGCCTTTCATAAAGACACATTTTTCTTTGAGGAATAAATTTGTTGATAGAAATATTCAAAAGACTAATGTGGTGACACTATTGTTGTATCAATTTCGGGGTTGTGCCTTTTAACTCGTGATATTGACATGATAGTGGCTTCTTGAGTGCAGTACCTCATGCAGGCTTTGGTTTGGGCTTTGAAAGACTTGTCCAATTTGCAACAGGAATGGACAATATAAGGGACGTGATTCCTTTTCCTCGAACACCTGGCTCGGCTGAGTTTTAGATCTTGCAGATATAAGGACCCCACATTCATTTGTACCATTCAAACTCTGTATTTTAGGAAATAATCTCTTGCATATTTTATTTTTATTTTAAAAAATAAACTGCTTGCGTCTAAATGAAGTATTTATACATTCTGAACTGAGTACAACACAATTTTGAGGCAATGTTAAGTGTCTTCCGCATTGAACTTATACATTATCATATTGGATTGGATACGCATGATATATAAAGACAACTTATAAATGAAATTTATCGGCGCTGTACAGACCAAAAAAAGACACTAGATCACAATAATAAATGCAAAATTGGAGCCCAGGAAGAGGGGATTACAGCAAAGTATCCCACCGGAGAATTATTTAATTCCGTTTTGGTGACTAATTGAATAACACAACCTTGCAATAGAGTTTTACCACTTTTGCTTTAATAGATTTATAATTAGTTTACATCCATGTGAAACATACACGTTTTTTGAATAAATTCAGCCATGAAGTGTGATGAGCCAGAATGACTAATATAATCAAATATTTTAGCTTATGTTCTGCTTAAAAACTAATTGAAATGTTCTATATCACTTTATATGTTGACTAATGCTTGACTAATTTAATAAACGTTTTTAATCAACACAAATGGATAAAATAACTCTTCAGTGACCTGTCCAAATGTTTCCGTAGTCTATATTTGGTTCTTCCTAATTAGTAATATCTGCGATGCCCTAATTCTTTTCTCATATACTTTAATGAAATAGCCTAAAATTTGAGTTTAAAAAAAGTATTAACTAATTTTTTTTATAACTTTCTTAAGCTATTAATATTACAATGCAAAACTATTTTACTATTTAAACCATAAATAATGATTAATACGTTTTTAAAAGTAAATAACTTTTTCTAAACGTAACGTCATTTGTAATGTTTCATCATAGGTCAAATATAGACAATTTGAATAGAAAAATCAGGCAGACATTTATAAACAATTACATTTTAACTGCGTAACGAACACCACGAATGCCTATATAGTTTTCAAGGTTGCTAACTTTATTTGTTTTTACAGGTACATTACCATGACCCAAGTCCACTACCATTTTCTATGGCTGACGCACGATAAAAGGGAAAAAACAATTTGTTTAGATGCTATTATTCCATAAAACCAATATTTTTAAACAACACCTTTATTGATTTTGGATACTTTCTAGTAGAATAGCCTTAATTGCTGCCTCTCCATCTATAAAATAGTTGGAAACAACAATCTTGAAATAAAAATAAAATCATTTACAAACTCTAAAAGGTTTCAAGTACTTGGACCATATCAATATATGAAATATCACACTTTAAGAAGCATCTTCGACGTAACATGCTAACCGATTGCCTCTAGTTCAGGAGTTCAAAAACATATCTATAATTATAACTTCATGGTTAATTTATATAATAATTTTAAACTTAAATTTATTATAAAATACACCCCAATTTAAATTACCAAACCCGAAATAAAAAATCCCATCAACAAAAGCGCTGTGGCAGAGTCAAACAAAGATTAACCCTAAATACATGGGTGGACAGACCCCAACATCCAAATTATACTTGCATGAATGTAGACGCAAGGATTAATGTCACATGGCAGTATGGAAACACCCATAGTCTTAAAAACAGGCTTAAGACGATCCTAGAATGAAACTACGAAAGTATGGCATGTTCTCCAATGTCTATTGCACTAATAATTGCAACATCACTTTATTTCATGTTCTCCAATCTTATTTTGCAGTTTAGTAAAAACCGGAAATGCAAACGACAAAGGTACCTTGGCAAGAAAAAACAAAAACAGCTTATTTACAACATAGGTTGGGGGCAGCCTATAAAGGGTGACCAAAATGATCTGTTCTCCCTAATAGGCCTCCAAATTATAGGGTTTGTGATATCAATTAATCAAGTAATGGAGAACATAAAACATCTGCAAAAGCTCTCAAAAGCGTTTTTCAGAGTACCCAAACAGACTCATTGATAAGCTTGGTATTCCCTGCTTGCACCATCCTTATTTCTAAGGCAAACAACACAATCTAGCATGTAGAAGAAACTCTTGCACAATTGTTTATAAAGAAGAATCATATTAGTTTGATATTAACTAGCAAAAAACTCCTTCATTGAACCTCAATCATAACTATCAAAGTTTGAGTTCATCAATCAAATAAAAACAAGTGATACATTTTGCAAACTAAGAAAAACCATTTTCCACACGTCTCCCTCACTTCTCCGACGAGTTTGGTCCACGCTTCTTTCCGAATCCCACCACTACAATCAACCAAAGCCAAAAATTAAAAACAAAATAAAATAAACAACACCCACATCACGAAAGCCCCAAATTCCCAAACCCTACTACTCCCAACACAACAAAATCACATTTTTCAGTAAATAAACGAAAAGAAGATAAAAATAAAGGAAGTTGAACATTGTGGGCATATGCATTTAAACATCTTAAAAGTAAAGGATGATAAAGTTACCGGCGGTGACGAATCGGCGGTTGTATTGCATTCTCTTGTGAGCGCGTCCACGTGGCTTCTTCTTCTTGTCTTGCTTCGCCACTTTGGGGGTTTGTCCTCTCACTTTCCCCGCACGTGCGAGAGATCCATGAACCTTACCTGCATCCCAAACAAAACATTAAGACATCATCGTTTTCATGTGCAGAAAAAACATCGAATCTCATTGAAAACAAATTAGAACGCAACTCACCCATTCTGATGAATTGCTGCTTCTCTCTCTTCTTTCTCTCTCAGCTGCAGCGGCTACCAATGAAAACCCCAAACAAGAGAGAGATGTTATATTTGTAAAGGTAGGGTTGAAGGTTGTGGGCTCTTTAATGGGCCTTTGGGCTGAGCCCACTTCTCTTATGGGTCACGTGCGTTGCCTGTGCCTGCTTCTCTTATTAGGGCTTGTCTAATTTATATTTTGTGGGAAATTGGTATTTTGGAGGTTGAATGAATTTATTTTAAAATAAATTAATGTTTAAAAAACTGATTTATGATGTTTATTTGGGGATGATATTCCTAGAGTTTGTTTTAAAAGAATTATTTCATTTGATGTAAAAAGAAAAAAAGAATTATTTTATTTTATTTGGATGACCAAAAATTATTTTTAAAATTTTAATGGGTTTTGCATGGAGAATCAACTGACATGCCTACATGTGATTGGGGACGAAGAAAACCCACACAGGTCTAAGCTTTTTTGTGCAATACATTTTCCATCCATTGTTACCACAATTTTAAGAAATCCTCAAAATCCCCGGAGCTAAGTGCATAAATACATTTATTGATTCTTTTATTTGTTTGAAATTGAATCTTATTATATTATTATTAGTTATAGTTGAGAGATATTTTTAATTATATAAATAATGAAAAATAAACTTAAAAAGATAAAAGAAAATAATCTTTTAATTATTATATATATAAACTAATATTTTAACATGTGCAACATACATATTTATTATATATAATTAAAATTATGATAAATATTATATATAAATAAATACTATACTTAAATATATAAATTATATTTAAAATTTGTATAAATAAATATTTTTAAACATATAATTATATTTTATATTTATAATAAATAATTTATATTATAACATAAAATTATTTTTATTTAATGATAATTTTTTTAAATATTAATATTTGATTCATAAATAATTATGATAAGTAAATTTTAAATAGATAATAATTTCTACAAATTCTCCCATTAAAAGAAGTTCTTAAAACATCCTCACATAAACAACGATTTGTGTTTAATTAGTATTTTAATTTGTGTATTTTATATATTAAATGCTTATTATATATACTAAAATTCATAATAAATTATATATATATAAATACTATATTCAACTATATATATATATATGTGTATATATATAATTTATATTTTCAAAACTATTTATTTATTATAAATTTTAATTGTAATACTATCCATGTTCGGTGTTCCTTTTTAATAATAGTTTAAGGTTATTATTATACACAAACCAATGAACGTAATAAACTTTTCAATCTCATAAAATAATTTTGATTTTTCCTATTATACTCTTCAATTTTTTCCTATCATAACATAATCCTTTCCAACAGCCAAATAAAATAAAATTCCCGTCAAGCAAATGCAAGCCTTGATATATTTTAAATTATATATAATTTATGCAAGCAAGATTGGCTTAACAAACCATTACAATTTTAAATTATATTTCATCTGATAACTGAAATAATTACAAAAGGGCAAAATATTTCACACTTTCATAGACCACCCATTTGTCCTTGGTCTGTTGAGGCCTCTTTCTCGAGGGATATTATGTTTTCTTGTTTAACAAAATGAACAAATGAGTTGTGCTACTCACGTACGAGGTAAAATGTGTCAAGTCCCATAACATTTTGTCTTTTGTCTTTTATGAACTTCACTTAATCACTTGATATGTACTACAATTCCAAACCAGCTACTCCATAAACAAAATTTGATATTTACAAGTTAATTATATGCTCAAAGTTGAACCTCGTGAAGATCTTCTCCAAATTTCTCACTCTCACTTTTCATATGTTGTGGCATTTCCAAAGCTTCACCAAAAGGATTATTATTGTCACCCATTTTTGTGGGACTAAATAAATCACCAAGAGTCCCACTCCATGAAGCAGTTCGGCGTGAATGAGGCGAATGAGAGTTACTGCCATTCGTCATTGCTTCTTGGAATGAGATATTACCCATGCTTGGAAACCTTTGCCTAGCCGATGGTGGTGGAGGTTGGTACGACGAATCATTTCTAGAAGATGTTGAAGGACTTTCATTAGTTAGATTATCTTCTTTATTACTTTCTACTGTAGCCTCCACTGTCTGCTCATTTGGTGATGGTGTAGGAATAAAAAACTTTGCATTGGCAGCATGGACAGGTTTCACAGATGTTGACCCAAACAGTTTTGCAGAACTTCCACCACCTTGGTTGAAAGTGTCAACATACCTGTATACACCACAAAGTTTTGTCAATTTTCAAATGTTGTTGATGATAAAGATTATCAATTAACACTTGTTTCTAGAAGATCTATCACCCATATGTGATAAATGTTCTTCCTAATTTATTTTCATTATTATATATTTTTGGTATATATATATATATAAATTAATTAGGCCCAGAAACAAGTCTATCCTCCATTTTATAACTCTAGTCAGTCTTGATAAAGATAAATTATACCTAGATGGTGCATTTGTATGCATTAAAGTGAAATACATGAAGAATAACATAGGACAAACACTAAAGTTATTGTAAAACTTTTTGCATTGTACATTGTTTGGTGAATCATGAACACCACAAACAAAATAATATTAAATTTATTTCAATACCCTTTTTAGTGTTATTTATCTTAATAACTTTTTGTTAAGGGTGACAACGATAGTACTAATGATGATGATGATAATAATAATGTTGATAATAATAACAATGATAGAGGTCATAATGATAACGATAAGTCGATGATAACATTAGTAATAATGATAATTGCAATAGTGACAATGATAGTAGGGACTGGTGCAACAATGGTGATGATGGTCCAGTATTATGTATATGAAACAAAAAAGTTATCCTATGATTTATTGAGTAACAACAACAATAAGTTTTTGTCCATTCCTTTTTCATCTATATTTATTTTGTTTCATGGTCATGTTGTAAATCAAACGTAAAATAATTATATTTATTTTGTCTAGTTCAATAATTTTTTAATAAATCAAACACACTCGAAGACTTGACTAATATAATATAAAAAATTATATTGTATTAGATAAATAAACTTTTTAAAGTGTCTCTATTCTTACAGTTTTGGAAGATCTTCAATTTAAAACTTTATAACCTAATAGAGAAATAAAAAGTTGAACCACTTTACAATGCTTGAAAAATGGTTAGACCTCTATTTACTCATGTATACAATAGGAAGAAGAATCATGTGAGTAAGGAGAGGTAGAGTGGGAACAATGACGAGTAAGAATAAAATAGGATCATACTTATCTTGTTATAACACAATGTTTAAGTTAGAATGAGAAGGGTTCAAGATTATTGTTTTAACATAAAAATGAGAAGAGGAAGGAGTTTGTCATTGAGGAGTTATATAGGTGAAGGCTAAGAAAAGGGGAGGAGATAAATTGAGTTGGAAAGAAGGTTATAGCCCCTCAAAGTGTTGCTTATATAGTATTTTATTTCCCTTTTCAATTCTATTATCAATTCATTGTTCTGATCTACATCTTCCATTGGTCACCCAATAACGATGCGAGTAAAGGAAATTTTCAATCGTAAATTCAATAAAAATATCAATTTCCTATACTCATTGCTTGGGTCTTAGTCTAAATTGACAAGTGACAACTACTACTATAAATAAGTTGAAGTTTGCTTTTCAGGTCCAACAATAGGATGATCGTAACAAAAAAAGTATCTTACCTTGATCGAACACCATGGCGACCACGAGCAGTGAAATGATTTGTGCTAGGTGGTATTGGTGGAATCCCTGGTGTATGTTCAGGGCTTGAAGTTTTTAAATCGTGTGCCTCGTTAGAAGGTGATCCTTCATTCTTCAGTGCAGATTTCAAGTTGTATTCAGTTGAACCATTCTGAAAAGCAACAGTTTTAGGAGGGGGTGGCAGTGCAGTTTCTTCAGATACAGGTTCAACACCTTCCTCTACCCATCTTTTCAATTTTTCATCATAATAGAACTTGTTCTTTTCACCCAATTTAGCCTTCGCAAAGAGAAAAAGAAAACCATTCAAATTGGCACAATTGAAATAAAAAAGAAAATAAAACATGGAACTAAAACAACTAACATACCTGTTTGCCAGGGCGAGGTCTCAAGACTAGTCCCATTGTCTTTTGTAGAAGTTGTGAACCAAAACCGAAACGAGAAAAGCGAGATGTACCCCCTGGTTCTAATGTTTTTTCTTGCGTGTCAGGTGAGGCTCCCTGTGTTGCCCTCATTAAATACAATATTATACTAAACAAAACAAAATCAAACACATGAAGCTGAAAATTTTAAAAATCACACACCTGGCGGGGGCTTCTACCAAAGTCTGGCTCTGAAACACTTCTATTAGGCTTTGTTGTTCTATTATTGTCAGTTGTCCAATCACTAATAGCTTCCATCGAATCAGATGGAACTAAGGATGACATTGCCATTGTTGATTGACTGTTAGATACTCTGTTAGCAATAGGTTCGTAAGGTGGCCCGTTTCCATGAACAGTTCCATGAGATGATGATGGAGCAGGTGGTGGTAAACCACCAACAACTCGATGTGCAGTACTATCAAAAAAGTTGAGCAATTTTCCCACTAATTTTGCAGGAGCCAAATTTGCAGCATAACCACCCTAAAAACATTGTTAATTAGGAGGATAAATAACAAAAGTATTAAAATAATGAAGACTACTCAAAGACAAGGAACTACCTGTTGGTGGGTTCTAATCCTCTCTTCAAGAGATAATACCAATTGTTTCCATGTTTCTACTTCTAGTGCGCGACCAGTTTTTAGGGATTTCAGTACTGCTTGGCAGTACCTGAAGTCATGTAATAACAATAAGGCAAATTACACAAAGCATGATATTACAAATAATATTCTACAAACTTACTTCAACGAGTCTGAAACCTTTCCCACTTCAGCTAGCATATATGCATAAATAAGCTTATATGGCTGAAATGGAAGCAAAATAAACTGAGAGTTTCCAAGCACCTTTGAATATTCGTAAAATTCAGTCCTCTGTTCAAATAACGATCGGGTTAGATAAGTTTTGATTCTTATAGTAACACATCTTACAAAAAGTTTTATCATATTGAACATAATATTTTGTTTAGAGAGAAATAAATGTTAAGGCACACAAGGTTATTTCAAAACCTTATAGAACAGAAGGTTTTAAAAGTGTCACATTCCTATGTTGATAAACCTAGGATTGAAGATGGGAGAAAAATTACATTCAAGGTTAGTGTACATTATAGTTTGCGAGAAATAAACTCAAAACACGTTCATATATACATGCAATAGAACAAGCAAATTTTGTGTAAGAAAAAACCTAAGAGTTAAACAAATTTCAATGAACCTGGATAGCCTCTGGACTAGAGTAAGTTCGAGGAAATTTCAAATGATCTGCTCCAATTAGACAGAGCCTTGAACTATCTGAGTATGACTCAAAGTTCGCTTCAGCAACTAAATAGCAGATGTGTGCAGCAATGATCTAAAATATGAGTCCCAAGTCAAAAGCAAAACAGAAATCATTAACCAGCGAAAAATATAATATTATACCTCACTTCTCTCCTTCCACAAGCAATCGCCAAGATGAATAATTACAAGTTCGTCATCTTTGGTTCTGTTTGCAGTTATTACAGCTAATTTCTCCTCCCAGTCGTCAAGCATGGCATTAGATCCAAACTGAAATTATGAAACATCAAAAAGGTTATGAGCTTCCAAGTTGAATAAAAAACTGTTGGATAGAAATCCCAAAATTTATGGGATATTATTATGTTGCAGAATTTCAGGGATTAGGATCTACGATTTATTCTTTATTGTTGTTACTGATTTATAGGGATTACTATTTAATTATAGGAATTGCCTATTATTTGTTTCCTTTTTTATTTCCCTGTTTTACCTATTTATGTACTAGACCAATCATTTGAATAATAAGAAGAAGAATGATTTCTTCCACTTCTGATAATATGGTATCAAGAGCCAATTCTTCTTCATCGTAGATGAAAATTCAATAAAGTTTCATGGTTGATGCGCCACCCACACAACCATCCACACCAGAAAATATTTCGCCTTCCAATAGAAACCTAAACAACCCAGCCCATATGGCTTCATCCTTCCAACCTATTGACCTAAACCCCTCAATTCAAATAACCCAACACAAATTAAATGGGTTAAACTTCCGAGAATGGTACCAGTCGGTCCTTCTTGTCATCAAAGGGAAAGGAAAAATGGGCTATCTTACAGGGACTTCTGCAACTCCACCAATGACTGATCCTTCCTACAGTAACTGGGATGCAGAGAACTCCATTGTCATGGCTTGGTTGATAAACTCAATGGAACTTAAAATTGGCAGAACTTACCTTTTCTGCAAAACTGCCCATGAAATATGGACCACTGTTCAGGAGATGTACTCAGACCTCCAAAACTCAGCCCAATGCTTTGAAATAAGGTCAGCTTTGCGTAATACTCAACAAGGTAACAAATCTGTAACCGAGTATTTTAATATGTTGGTAGAGTTATGGCAAGAAATGGACTTGTTCTATACTGTTTCATGGAAATGTTCTGAGGATAAATTGTTGTATGACCAAATGCTGGAAAAAGAAAGGGTATTTGATTTTCTTCAGGGACTTACAAAAGAATTAGATGAAGTTAGGGGACGGATCCTTGGCCTCAAACCACTACCAACTCTCAAGGAAGCCTTTGCCATGGTTAGAAGAGAAGAAAGTAGGAGGAAAGTGATGTTGCAAAACAATCCTACAATTGAGGATCCTCATCTAAACTCAGCTCTTGTGTCTCGGAAAAATGATCTAAAGACTATCCGTCCTAAAGAGGCCAAGACATGGTGTGATCATTGCCAAAAACCTTACCACACCAAGGAGACATGCTGGCTCATTCATGGAAAACCTGCAGATTGGAAACCTAGAAGTCAGCGCAAAGCTGCTGCCTCTGTTAATGTTGCTGAATCTTCTGCAGATTTAAAGAAGCAATGTTCTGCTATTTTTTCTGATGAGCAAATGGATATGCTAAAGAACCTACTCTCTCAACTCAAACCTGAAGCTTCTGCACCAGCAAACTCTACAGCAAACATTGCTCACAAAGGTAATGGTCAGTTTTCTTTCTTGTCTAGACAGGAAAATACAGGAGAATGGATCCTAGATTCCGGAGCTACTGACCATATGACAGGGTCATTGGCTGACTTTACGTCATACAAGAAAGCTGATAAAGGTGTTACTATTACAGTAGCTGAGGGTAATTCATCAATGGTAGTTGGTACTGGTGACTTAAACCTGTCAGGACTAAAACTAAAATCTGTCATTTATGTTCCTGAATTAAAATACAGTCTCAATCTGCCAGTAAATTGACTAAAGATCTAAATTGTGCAATAATTTTTTACCCTTCTCACTGTATTTTTCAGGATTTGTCTTCGGGAATGATGATTGGCAGTGCTAAGGAACATAATGGTTTGTACTTTATCTAATTCACCATCAAAGTCGGATTCTCCTCAAACCATCTCAATTCTGATAACCATGATTAAGACGAAATTTGGCAAAAAATAGCAAAATTTATTATCTATTAATTGATTGTACAAACTACACCAATATTCTAAAACAGTAGCAACATTAAAGATGATTATATAACACATGACCTATGGTTGTTACATCTGCATGTAAATCCTGATTATAGTGTTAGCAATTAACTTCGTAAAAAATTTTACTTGGTTTGACAAGAAGTGATTGCAGTATATTCCTAAGGTTCCAAACACAAACGAATTTGTCTCTGCTTTGGACATTGCAACAGTTAATTTCCAGGAAAGGGAAACTACTATGAACTTATGTTCTATCCATTATTTTGAGTACACAATGGTATAAAATGCATATTGATATGCATTATGGCAGCAGCTAGGACTCAACTGAGAGCAAAAGCCTATCAATAAAATGCATATTGATATTGACTAGGAGCCAAGCTGGATAAGTTGATCCTGATCTCTAGAAACTAAATGGTGTTGGATCTTTCAAAAAGGCTATTCTTCATTCTTCAAGCACGCATAAATCATAATCACATTTGAAACTACGAGTATTCAAATTCCAATCACATTTGTCACATTGGGAATTGCTGTATGAAATATTCATCCAGAATGTGTTTTAGCTGTGTAACAAAAATTCGTGCTAAGAGAACATATAAAATATCCAAAAACTGACAACAAATAGAATGTCAACCCTTAAACCTCCTAGAAAACAAATATAATTAGCCAGCAATTCTTTTATTTGTCTAACGGCTCAATTGCCCACAGGACACAAATCAAGGTGCTGAAATCAATTAAAGATAAGGAATCATAAAACAAGCAACAATAATAAAATTAAAATTTTCTATCATTTTTTGCAAAATAACAAGCTAGCAACTCACACCAAACATATGAATAGGTCATACATAACGCACCTAATCTTTCAATGGCAATTAAAGCCTCCTCCTGCTTATATCCCATTTTCATCAAAGTCCGTAAGGTATCATCATTCTCAGAATCAGAAATATTCTTTTCAATTTCCTACAAAACAATATCAAATAAAAAGCAAGCTGTATATTATAAAACAAAACCTGCACCTATATTGTTTCTTAGCACAAATATCTGTAAAAGCAAGCGGAAGCATGATGACATTTCATGAGATGCCCAAGGAAGGAACATAAACTATCCTAACTGTCTCATGTTTGAAAGTGATTACACGTCCTATAGCACTAGTAGAAACCACCCTAGTAGATGGCACTAAAGACACAAAATAACTTGATAATACGACGAATTAGATCATACAAACTCCAGAAAACAACCATCAAAGCAAAAGATCAAAGATTACTTCATCAGAAAAAATATCAGTATCTGAGAAATCATCCCAAGAGCTCCCTGCATTCCCTGAAGAAGAAGGATCTGTCACAATTTGCTGCTGTGGCTGGGGAGAACTTTCTAGAGCCTGCAAATATGAAAACAAAAACACCATGATAATTGTAACATTAAAAGTCAAAATCTTATAATATGAAAATGGTATATTAAAGATGTCAGAAAGAAATCTAAAAACTGTTTGTAAAACAAAAGAGCCAAAATGAGAGGTGGAGGGTGAAAAAAAAAAAAACAATTATATGCACAAAAGAACCACAGATCACCCATTGAGGTTGATAAAATATTATTTCAATTGTATTAAGGCACAATTATACTTGGACAATGCTAAATAACAATATTGAAAGATTAAAATAAGAAATTGTTATCCTCTTCGTAATAGGAAAGAATCATAAAAAGTGTATGAAATCTGTTTAAAAATTTAAATGCATAACTTTTTAAGAAAGCATTATCCTCCTAGTTTGAAGAATAAATATATAACCATCAAGCTATTGCTTATCATTTCATACAACATAATTAAAACTTGCATTTCATGAACTAAAATATCACTGCAAATTATTGCAATGACATTTCTGCTACTATTGGAGTATAGTTTTACTCCTTACTTATATATGTAGAATAGTAATGTAGATTATTTTTAATCTTCTTCTTTACTGTCACATGTATTGTCTTTATTATAGACCAACATAGATTGGCTCTATATAAACCTGTCTTGTATTCCTTGTGCAGTTGGTGAAAACAAATTTTGCTTATCGAAACATTCTCTCATCTTCTCTCTTCCGCTCTCTCTCTCTCTCTCTCACACAATTCTATTATGGTATCATAGAGCTCCTCAATCCTCTTCCCCTTCTTTCTTCTCTTTCACATTTATTGTCTTTATTATAGACCAACATAGATTGGCTCTATATAAACCTGTCTTGTATTCCTTGTGCAGTTGGTGAAAACATATTTTGCTTATCGAAACATTCTCTCATCTTCTCTCTTCCGCTCTCTCTCTCTCTCTCTCACACAATTCTATTATGGTATCATAGAGCTCCTCAATCCTCTTCCCCTTCTTTCTTCTCACAAATGAAAATTAACAACTAGGAAATAAGAGAACTAAACCATAGGACAAAAGGAAAATGTTACAGCATTGTAATTGCTGCAACATACATCCCTAAGCAGGAAATGAGAAGAATAGCATCCAATCCAACCAAATTCAAAACGGTTCCAACATTCCCGTTTTACCTATTTATGTACTAGACCAATCATTTGAATAATAAGAAGAATGATTTCTTCCACTTATAATAAAAACCAATGTCATTAACATATGCGAACAATGAATGTTGGAAAAAGAAAATTGAATTGCATAACCCTTGTATGCTTGTCTATAATAATATTAAATCTCATTTAACACATCCAAATACAGTAAAAGAATGTACCAATTGTTGAACCAAAGATGTTTTTGTACCGTTCATCTCTATGATTTGTATGATTACAAAAACAATATGAATTTTAAAAGGCTAAAATTCATATTGTTTTTGTAATCATACAAATCACAGAGAGATGAACGGTACAAAAACGTCTTTGGTTCAACAATTGGTACATTCTTTTATACATGCTTGTATCCAGACAAACGACCATCCTAATATACGATTGTTCAAAGAATAAATTAAGTGAACACGCTCTTATAGAATATTTGTCCAACGCCCAACGCACTAGGACTTTAACAAAGCATCCAAAATATGAGGAATTCCAAAGTTTGCATATCTTGTGAAAACAAGTTTCGCACTCTTAATAACTTAAATTTTCATTTGAA